TTTCCTCCCCTAGAAAAAATTTCTTTTAGACACATTTTAGTGAGTATAGGGGAAAGATATGAGGCTAATAATAGAGAATCATTCTTTGTCTACTTTATATTTTAAACACATAAAACCTCCACTGACTTCTATCGCCTTTTTTTTTGTTTTTCTCTTTCTGTACAAGCACTCCTATTTGGACAGGGAAACCTCCCTTCTTCTGAGAAACATTGCAGGAAAACCTTCTCATTTGCTGACCAAGGTGAAACCTCTTCTTTCCACCTGTATGTAAATATTTATTGCCTTATAGGTAGAATACAATTTCTGGGTTTGATTGTGCTCTCAGATTTCTCAGATTGTGCTTTCTTATTTCAGCACCTTTGTGCTGAACAGGAGGTTGTTTTTTTTCTTACTGAAGGTAATTATTTACTGACTTTAATATGTTCTATTAAGAATAGAACATGTTTGCAGTAATTTACTAGTTTTTCACTGAAAATTTACTGTTGTAAATACCTAAAAGTCTTCACAAGTATATTGCACTTTTTCTGGCTTAACATTGTAATTCACTTGAAAGTCTAAAAATGTTTAACTTTTACTACTAATGCTTATCTATGCTGTGAGGTTTTTTTCAGCCGACTTTGTTTTCTAATTCTTGTTTATATTATCAGCACCTCATTTAATTAAAACATTTGTTTATATAAACAGAATCTTACTTTACATTAGCTTCATCAAATTGGAAGAGAATGTTGAGTTTTAATTTCTCAGTTCTTCAATTTCAGAATAGTTTGAATTGGTCCAGATAGATTTTCACTGGGTTGGTATTTTACATCAATTTTAAATCTTTTAGCCATTGTTATCATTAATTAAGGGAAACAGAATAAGGAAGCTGACTATAAATAGCTTTCTGCCTCTTTTTAAATCATGGTTTTATTTTATTATCTTATTTAAATAATGTTAAAGTCAAGAATGTCAGACTTGGTTTTTGAAGAATATTCACAGTAATGATAGGTAATGTTTGTTAGTTATTATATCAGAGGGTATTTTTTATTTCATTTTTTTCTTAACCATATAAACTTGTGAAAGATGGTAAAGCTAAAATTAAAATCTCCGTGAGAAGCAGCTCAAAGAGAAGATCCAAGAGTCAGCAGTAACCCTTTCTCTTGCCTGAGTTTCTCTCTTTGAAGTAGATCTAGGAATGGCTTAGAAGTAGCTTAAATATCAGGGAATGTAGAAGTCTAAGCAGATAATAGACGTGTACTTTCTAACCTTAGCAAAATTCTTTCCTTTTCCTCAGCTCTTCTCTGTTGACTGTCTCTACCTGGAATATTAACTCATAGCTTCAGCTAGCATCTCTGTTCTAGATCATATCTCTGAGAGCAACAAATTTTCAGATAGCCATCAGGCATTTCCTGTAAGATTACCAGTACCAATCCCGAAGGTCTTTAACTTCCTTGCCCTGGGGCCTCACAATTTCTATTCAGAATCCTGCCATTCTCCCAGTTGCCCAGGTTTGAACCCTCTACCATTTTTGGTGCCTTTCTTCTTTTTACTTACGACCTCAGCTCTAGTGAAGGACTTGCTATCTTGAGGATTTACTGAGTTCACCCTACCGTTTAATTCCCATTGCCACCACCCTAAAACCAGTTCTTAATCTCTTACCAGAGCCACTACACTTGTCTCTTTATTCTTGCCTGTCCCTCCTCTTGTCCATTTTTTACACTGCTCACAGATTAAGTGCAACTTTTAACCATATCCATGGCTTATTTATTCAACAAATATTTGTTGAGTCATGTGCTGTGCTAGCTATAACATTGTATAAAATGGCCACATATCCCCCGCCTCCCTCAGGAGCTCACAGTCTTCTTATGAAGGTGGATTTAAAAAACATTAACAAGCAAGCATGTAGACAAATTCTAAATCATGTTTTAAGTGCTATGAAGGGAGGCTGCATTGCCTTTAGATGGTGAAATCAGAAAAGGCCCTTCTGGTAGCATTTAATCTAAAGCTTGAAGGATGAAAAGCCATCTTGAGGGTCAAGGGAAGAGGTCCATGTAGACAGTCCCAGGGAGAACGGAACTTGGCACGTTTGAGAAGCTGAAAGAAAAACGGGGCTGGAGCCACAATAGTCAAAAAATAAATATATATACGAGTGTCTTTATTTGGATTTGGAGAGGTAGCCAGGAAGCAGATTATTCAAGCATGCTAAAGAGTTTAATTTTTCCCCCCCTAAAACTGTTGAAGAGAATAACTTCATTCATTCAACAAATATTTACTATGTGCCACACAGCATTTACAACCCAATATGCCAGTGAACAAAAACAGTTTCTATCATAGAATGAGTGGTTCTTTGCAGGTTTTGGATAAATGCAGTCAGTAACTTCTCATCTCCCTCTGCCCAAGTGATGGGGATGCCAACTGCAGCATCAGAGCCATTCCCTCCTCAGATCACATCTCCTGTTACCCCAGTGGTGGTATTACTGGTGTATATAGTCAATATCCTGCTTTCATACAGTAAGAAATTTGAGCAGGAATGTGATTCTGTAGCATAGAACCTAAATATTTAGGGTGGGGTAGTGAATGGAGTCAAGGATGAAGTGGCAGAACTTCTAGATAATCTGAGCCACAGGGGCCTCTCAATGTCAGTGCCCTCTGTACCAGAGCACCTGGCTGTCGTGAAGCTAAAATGAGGTTATACCTCTTGGATAGCTCCTGTGTGGTCGTCTGGTTCTCCCTACCTAGAGGACATGTGTCCAGGTTACTGACACACCTCTGACCTGCTCTCTTCCAAACTAGGACATTGTCACACCCAGTGGTCAGTACATAGCAGCACTGTGCTTAGGCCAGGGCAGCAAAAAGAAGGGGTGGGGTTTTTTGTTTTTTTGTTGTTTTGTTTTCACCAATCCAGGCCAAGTGAAAATTTTTATTTTTGACAAGCAGTGTTTATTAACTGCTATCCCACAGTTTGTGTTATAACCCTTAGGACAAAAGGAACTGTCATATTGTAGTGTAAAGAGCAAGCAGTCACTTGGTAGCTGCCAGTATAATCTTAGAAAGATTAGTCTTTTGGGGCCTTAATTTAGTGTGTGACAAGTTTCAAGGTGTTCAGATAATGTTAGTTCTCTTCTCAGTGAGAGTCATATCAATTTCATGATTTCTTTCTTTGCTTTATTTTTTTAAATTGATTTTAGAGAGAAAGGGAGAGAGAGAGAGAGAAACATTGATTTGTTGTTCCACTTAATTATGCACTCATTGGTTGATTCCTGTTTATACCTTTACGAGTATCAAACCCACAAAACGGTGTATTGGGACACGCTCTAACCAACTGAGCTTACACGGTCAGGACAGTTGCATGATTTCTTTAAGAGAAGTAAACTAGTTACTATTTTGGCCCTAAACAGTTTTCTAGAATAGACCACTTCATGGGCATCAAACTCTTTACTACTACAAGTTTTCTCTTAATTCTTTTAATTTACATAGCTTGTTTATTGTTATAATCTGTGAAATAAACTAGATCCCAAAGAAACTGCTACCTTCTCTTTAGCCCCATAATTTCAATAAGATTTGTTCTGAACCCACAAAGCCTTAATAATTTCTTAGTTGAAGAATTCCCTAGCCGTCTGTTAGCAACTGTAACTCTATAAGTATTCTGTTTTTTACACTGAAGACAATGCTCTAACACTTTGTGGCCACAGCATTGGCTTTCATTTAATCGTAAGATCTTCACTGAGTTTTTGTCCCTGATGTAAATTTGAGGAGGCTTGGCATTTGATGATTATTGATAGCCACACAGGGGTTTTTCAGGTAGAAAATAGGTTGTCTCTTGCTTTTGTAAGAGAAGGGGTAGGAAAGAAAGTTCAGTTATTATATGTGTGAGGTATCTTTTACATATATTTAGGATAGTTATGGGACAAACAGGGTGAAGAAAGGGATAGGCCAAAGATAAGGGGCAGAAGACTTAAACCCGGAGTTTGCTGGCTTTAACAGAAAGGAGAGAACATGAGATGAATAAAGCTCTGTTCTTTGTTTTAACTTGAGTTGCAGATAGTAAACATAGATTTGCATTGCCTTTATAAATAAACTATTGGATATCTTCTAAGTATATAATCTAAGTACATTAGCAAAGATTTATTGATCTTTCCTATATTGCACAATACTCTATAAGCTTATAACAGTTTCTTCCTTGTTGTGGTTAAAAGATATGATCATGACTTAAATAAAGTAGGTGAAATCAAACTTTGTGAGGAAGAATAAAATACTATGAATTTTGCAGTTTGATATAAACATTTTATTTCCACTTTTGCTCCAAACTCTAGAACTTAGAGGTATCTTGATTAATTGTTTCTTCAAAAAGCTCCTAGCAAGGACATTCTTGTTAATAAACTGGAGAAGAATGAACTTAAATTTCCCTAGGTTGAAATTAAGCTAGCTTTTAAATTTGAATTTGATAGTTTTAACACAGACCAAAGAGTAATATGTTAAGCAAATGGGAGATTAGCTAAATTTGGGTGTTCAAATAGCCTACCTTGCTGTTTTACCGAAAAAATGGTTTCTTATTGATGGCTAGGAAATCTCATTGTTTAATGTATGTTCATTGGTTGCAGGTATCTTGTTTTCTTTCCTTTTTTTTTTAATGGAATTTATTGGAGTCTTTTGTTTCTTTAAATCTTTCTTCCAGTGTATCAGCTTTTTTCCTGTTGGCCTGTGGAGCAGAAACTGATCTGGGAGTTTAAGCTAATCTTATAATTGAAATACTTTTGATGTCATTTCTTCAAAAGATAGCACTGATTGTGTTCTAGATAATATACTAAAAGGGGAGTTGTGAAAGTAAATTTTCATAATAAAATTTATAACCAATATCAGATGTAATATTTGAATTCTTATATTCCTTTTTTGAATAGACTTTATATTTTATAGTAAAATTTAGAGGGAGGTAAAGAGATTTCTTATATACCACTTACCACCACACATGCATAGTCTCCATTATCACCATCTCCCACCAGAATGGTACATTTGTTACAGTTGATGGACCTATATTAACACATCATTATCACTCAGAGTCCATAGTTTATATTAGGCTTCACTTTTGCTGGTGTACATTCTATGAGTTTGGACAAGTGTATAATGACATATATCTACTATTAGAGTATCATACTATTAGAATAGTTTCACCCCCACAAAAATTCTGTGCTCCACCTGTTCACCCCTTCCTCTACCCAACCCCCAACAACACTAATCTTTTTACTGTTTTCATAGTTTTGCCTTTTTCAGAACGTCATATAGTTGGAATGTATAGCCTTTTCAGATTGGTTTCTTTCACTTAGTGATATGCTTTTCCATTTCCTCCATGTCTTTTCATGGCTGGATAGATCATTTCTTTTTTAGCACTGAATAATATTTCATTTTCTGGAATCAGTATAATTTATCCATTCACCTACTGAAAGATATCTTAATTGCTTACAAGTTTTGTCATTTTATAAATAAGGCTACTGTAAACATCTATATGTAGGTTTTTGGGTGGAGGTAAGTGTTCAACTCATTTGGGTAAGTGTTAAGGAGCATGATTGCTGGGTCGTATCATAAGAGCATGTCTAATTTTCTAAGAACCCACCAAACTGTCCTCCAAAGTGGTTGTACCATTTTGCATTCCCACCAGCAGTGAATAAGAGTTCCTGTTACTCCACAACCTCACCAGCATTTGGTGTTTACAGTGTTTTGAATTCTGGCCATTCTAATAGGTGTGTAGTGGTATCTCATTGTTTTAATTTGCAGTTCCCTAATGACATATGATTCTGAGCATTTTTTATAGTCTTATTTGCCATATGTGTATCTTTTTGTATCTGTGTAACTCATTGTTAAGGTGTTTTGCCCATTTTTAAATTGGGTTGTTCATTTACTTGTTAGTTTTAAGAATTCTTTGTATAGTTTAGATCATAATTCTTTATCAGATATGTCTGATAAATATTTTGCAAATATTTTTCCTAGTGTATATAGCTGTCTTCTCATTCTCTTGAATATGTTTTATCCTAAAAATGTATTACGCTTTTGAGGACATTTAATTTTTTTTAACTTCTGCATATTGATTATAATATAAAAGAATTTGGCCTTTTAGAAGTTCATGTTTATATTCCAAATATGCAAAGCATTGATTCTGCATACCAGTTTTTCCTCATCAGACTTTGAGATTTAAATTTATAGTAGTAATTTAGTTTTCTTATTTTATAACCTGCCTTAAGAAAAAATCTTGTTCAGATATATAATCAACAATAATTCTGTTGTTTATTTGCATAAAGTGTGGATAGGATGATCGAATCTTTTAATCAAATGAAAATATCTATAATAGTCTAAGAATTCAGTTTTATCTTACTTCTCTCCATTGTTAAAATAAAGTTCTTTGTTTTCTGTCTAATTGGGTTTACAGATAGTATTTCCAGACCTTGGTGGTTATTATGTTAATTCCCTGACTCCTTTCATTGACAAGGATCAGATTTCTGACAAACAAGCCCACTTGTCTTCCCCAACCACTGGTTTTTCTGTTTCACAGAGTAGTGAGTAAATACTAAGCTCGAAATGAGGGGAGAAAGCCTAGAATGTGAAGAGGAAAGCAAAGCAGTTCAGAAACAGGAAAGCCAACAGAATTTAGGAGAGCAGTGAATCTCTTTTGCGGGGAGTTTTTTTACCCTGATAGCTTTAGATTTTTAATGAAGAATGACACACGGGTTGTGGTTTTTAATTAGAATCCACAGCAGATAGTGTTTGTCTGATATAATTAGGTTTTTCTTTTGTTGTTGTTGTTTTTAGTGTGTGTGTTTTTTTTTTAAATTTTATATTAAATAAAGGAATCTACAAGCTGGTAGTTTATATTTTTCTTAGTTATTTTCCAGAGAAATCAAAGTTTAGAATTAGAAAGTAATCCTTTATAAGTACAGGTTTACTTACATGAGTTTTCAACTGGCAATTAATGCTACAGTGTACTATGGCCTATTGCTGGAAAGTTCAGGTAAGTACTGGTATTAGAGCACTATATGTTGTTTTAGGAAAAAAAATAGACTAATGGTTTAAGTATAGTTGTAGTTCTTGATAATTTTATTACTACTTATCTAAATTTTATAAAGTAGAAGTTAGTAGAAATTAAATATTTGAAAAATTATATTTAACTTAAAAATTATCAATGAATTAATGGAAATAAATTTGAGTTTATTGACATGAGACATTGATTATATTGTGTGTTTTTTTCCAAAGCAGAGTAAAACTTACAATATAATGTAGCCTCTTCTATTTTTATTGGTATATTAATGAGAATGTACCTACATTTTTTTTAATTAAGGAGTTATATATGGTTGCAGATAAATTGATACTAGGATTTTTTGTTTTGTTTTGTTATTTTTATGATGATATGTTTTCATTGTAAGAGAACAAAACATTAGTATGCAAAAAATGGATTGCCCATGCTTTGGAGGGGTAATAAATTCAGTTAAGTATTGTGCAGGTGTAACAAATTGGCAATCTCACAGATAACCTATATACATTCATGTTTCCCCTAGCCCAGAACCCCAAATTCATCTTCAGATGGACAGAATCAAACTCATTAATCTACTACATTATAGGTTTCTTTTTCTCTGGAATATGGAATCTAGTCTAATAAGAGATCTTCAAGTCTGCATCTTTAAAAAAGTTTATATGTGAGCTCTCACTTTGTGAACACGGTTATTTTTAAAATATACTTTATATAATTGTGTGAAGTTATATTCTTGCTGAAATTCAATGCTAGCAACATCCTTAAGGATAAAAAGACTTCTTTTAAAAATCTCATTATTTTAGCATTAGTTTATCTGAAGTGCTTTTGTTCACAGGAAGAACAAGCAGCAAAATTGAAAGCTGAGAAGATCAGAGTTGCCCTAGAGAAAATTAAAGAGGCACAAGTGAAAAAGGTGATACTTGGATTTTTTAAATCAGTTTTACAGATTTATAAAAAATTGCCTTGTTTATATAATGTATCTCTAAGATATGGAGAGGTAGAGGGGTATTTCTTCCTAATATATTTTTCACATGTATTTTTTGTGGATAAAATGCATTTTAAAAGAAGTAAATTTCTGATTTTAAGTTGCCCTAACAGAGTAAAACAAAATAATCTTATTATGATCTTACCTGTTATAATTTTAAGGAGGCTTTAAATTTGTTTATGTAGGTTATTTGATACCTAATTTTAGAGTATTTTTATATAATAAATTTAAGTTTGTTTTAATTTATATTTAACTGAGGGCATTACTAAGAGCAGTATTCAATTGTTGGAAGAAGTTTCTAAAATGTCTAATTTTTGGTTTGCATTTAATTTTCTTTTTGCCTTTTATAGCTGGTTATTAGAGTCCACATGTCTGATGATAGTTCTAAAACAATGATGGTGGATGAGAGACAGACGGTGAGACAAGTGCTGGATAATCTGATGGACAAATCCCACTGTGGTTACAGTTTAGACTGGTCACTGGTAGAAACCATCTCTGAGTTACAAATGGGTTAGTAATCTCATTGCTTCACTTACTTTTTAATTTCTTTTTAATTCTAACAGTTTTTGTGTTGGTAAAAGCACTTGGAGACATATTTATATTTTATCCCCTATAATATAAACTTGGCTTTTTACATTATCTTTTTTTTTTCAAGTATTTTGAGATTTCTTTGAATATGAGGAATCTAGTTGAGTTTAGATTTTCTTATAGAACAAACTTTTTGTGTGTTTTTTAAGGTAACAAAATACTATTTCCCTTCAAATAAGAACTGCATAGATCAACACATTTACTGAAGACCAATTTATTCACATTTGTATTGAAGTCTTTATTCCTGCATTTGATTTTCAGGGGACAAATAAAGCACAAATATCTTATTTTTAGCTAGGTGTATTATGTCTTAGTTTCCTAAGATTTGTAGTTTGGTATGATGTCTTCTAATTATAAACATCCTCATTTTTTATATCATTCTTGACTTTTAAAACTTTTTTTTGTAATATTAGTTGTATGATTACAGAAATCTTGCAGTAATTCTCTTAGCATACTTAATTGAATCAGTAATCAATGTTAACTTGCTATTTTAAAATATGTATTTGCATTTCTCTTACTACTTACTATATTTTTAAATATTCACAGCAATTTACAGATAAATAAAAAATATAATTATTAACCCCTTCTCTCAGAGAATATGTACACAACTCCCAAAACTAAGTCATAAGTTATTAGACCATCATTAACATGAATAAAAATGTATTCTCGTAATACTCATCTATAACTCTTCTTAATTAGAAAACTTGTTTGAGTTCATAGATGTAGTAGCATTATGATACACAGAAAATGTTCGGATGCTAGTTTTGGAATATTTTTATGATCGTAGTTTTAAAGACTCACATTTGTAATATTTCTGTATTACCTCTTATATAATTGACTATGGTGTCTTAAGTAACTATTGTTTAATCATATATACATGGCACAGTGCTTCAACTATAGTATGAGGTGAACTCATAGATACAGAGATCAGACTGGTTGGTTGCCACAGGGGAAGGGGGTTGAGGGGCTAGGTGAAAAGGGTGAAGGGATTACATGCAAATTAGTAGTCACAAAATAGTCACAGGGATGTAAAGTTCAGCATAGTGACTATAGTCAATAATATTAATAAGTATATATAGAGCCAGGTGGGTACTTGAAATATCAGGAGACCACTTTGTAAAGTAGTATATGGTTATCTAACCATTATGCTGTGCACCTGAAACTAATAAAAAATAATAGTGAATGTTAACTGTATTTGAAAAATAAAATTTAATATTTTATGTATTTAGTGTCATTCAGTATTTGTTGAATGAATAAAAGAAAAGAAAACAAGGGGCTAAGAGCCCAAATAAGTTGGTAGAAACAAATTATGATAAATGTAAATTACTCAATTAAACAAATATTAGAAAGGATGAATAAATAAAATGCAACTGTTTGCTGTTTATAAAAAAGACCTATTATCTAAAGACACATAAGTAAAAGTAATGTGAAAAGACACTAACCAAAACAAAGGTAATTAACTTTGTTAATAGCAGACAAAATAGACTCTAAGCAAATGCATTACTAGAGATGAAGAGAACACACATATTCACTAGTAAGAGACCATATTTCTAAATTTTATCTAATAGCATTAAATTGTATAAAGCAAAAGTTGACAGAACTACGAGGAGAAACTCATGTCAGCCTTCATAGTAGAACCTTTTCAATGATCAGTACAATCAAGCAGACAAAAAAGGATACAGGAGATTTGAAAAATAATTTGTTTGATCTATGAAATAAATTTAGAACACTATCTAATTACAGGAAAATATACATTCTTTCCAGCAGAAGAGGAATATTTCTAAAAATTCAAGTATGAAGCCATCAGCAACTTCAAGAAATTTCAAAAAATTAGTATCTAAATGGGTTCTTTGAATATATATGTTCAATCTAAAGGTCATGTGCTTTGGTTCCTAATTTGGAAATTAGAAAATGTGTCTATGTTTAAAAGTAAAACCCATGACTCAAAGAAGAAATTATCTTGGAAATTTCTTAAATTACAAGAACTGAATACTATTGGAAATACTTAATATCAGAATTTATGATATGCAACTAACATATTCTTTTTTAAGGATGAATGGGAAAAGGCTGAAAGCTGAAGAAAACCTAGAAGAAGAATTAGATTCCAGTCCTAATTCTTCCATGTAGCAGGCGTGTGACCTTGCTAAAGTCACTTACCACCATTAGGGCACGTTCCCTTATTTGAAAACAGGTGGAAAATCTCTAAGGGCCCAGGACTGTAGTGTCAGTAAGGATTCTGTGATTCTGCTGTGAATTATTTTGCATGGTTTCATATATTTGATGCAATTCTGGTGAATACTAACAAAGTACTGTCATTTTATTTTGGGACAGAGAGAATCTTTGAAGACCATGAAAACTTGGTTGAAAATCTTCTTAACTGGACAAGAGATAGTCAAAACAGGCTTATGTTTATGGAACGTATAGAAAAATATGCACTTTTCAAAAATCCACAGGTGAGACTCAAAAACACAGAGGTTGTTATTTTTAAATGCTTATATTGTTCTGTCATTACTAAGTTGATAGAGTTAAAAGATTGGCAACCACCTGGTTGGAATACTGTGGTGGTAAAACCCCATGGGAGCATTCACTACTGCTAGGGTGGAGGGACTGCTGGGCCCCGGTTGTCAGGCCCGAGGGAGGTTATCAGCCCAAAGAGCCGGATGGGGTGAGCCCTTGGGGCAGCAGAAGTAACTCCAGGGAGTTTCCAGGTTTCTGCTCTAATCCAGAGCTGTGTTCAGTAGCTATTTATTTGGTGAGTTTCTATCCATCAAAGAAAAGTACTTACATATTTAAGTTTCTCTATTTCAGCCATTTATCCAGTTCAGATTTTGATTTGTTTTTTAAATTATTTTTTGATCTTAGTAACCTTGATTATAAATGGTTCCACATACTAATACATGTGACCTTGCTTTACTTGGCATCTTTGCTTATTTCAAAACAATGTTTGAGTTAATACTTTCTATTGCCCAAATCCTATCTTATATAATAAAAATGTAATATGCAAATCGACTAAACGGTGGAATGACCAGTCTCTATAACGCACACTGACCACCAGGGGGCAGATGCTCAACACAGGAGCTGCCCCCTGGTGGTCAGTGCACTCCCACAGGGGGAGCACTGCTCAGCCCAAAGCCAGGCTTATAGCTAGCAAGTGCAGCAGCAGTGGCGTGAGCCTCTCCTGCCTCCACTATGGGCGGGTGGTAAGGAGCGAGGGGTCCCGAACTGCTAGAGCCCCAGACTGCAAGAGGGATGTCTGACTGCTGGCTTAGGTCCAATCCCCGGCGGACATCCCCTGAGGGGTCCAGGACTGTGAGAGGGCGCAGGCCGGGCTGAGGGACTCCCCACCCTCCAGTGCATGAATCTCGTGCACTGAGCCTCTAGTATTTTATAAAAATCAATAGGCAAGAGAAAACAACCCCACTATAAAAAGTAGTAATGAGGGAAAATAGTAGCAGTGTTAAAGGTATTGAGTAGTCATCCTTCAGGTGGCTTAATCATGACACATCTTTACTGGACATTTTAAGTGAAGAATACACATTTGGGAATATGGATAGATCTTTTTATGGGTGATTGTTGAAAATTTTTTCATAAGGCTAATAATTAGAATTCATATTTTAGTTGAGTCACCAAAATGAGATTATGGTAGTCTCAGAGAATTTGGGATTTCTTCTTTAAAACCCAGAACATAGAATTACATTTTCTGCATCTGCATCAGTTAAGCTCAGCATATTTTAAGGAAATTTGCTTTCTTTGTCATACTTAATTTGTAAACCCTTCAGGTCCTGTAAACACAACTTTCATTAGATATATCAAAACATAATATTGTTGCATGTAGTATTACCTCAGGATTTGGGGGAGAGCACTTACATTGAGTAGGTCAAGGTGAATGAGGAAGGTAAGGAGGAAGCCACTGTTAGCCATTTAATGATGGTGTCCCTGCACAGGTTGCTTTCCAAAGAGTGTTCCTTCTCCTCTACACAGCCGGAAACTGACACAGAGGTGCTATGTCTCTAGAAGAAATCACATATGCTCTTGTGTCAAGGGAATAATAGAATGTGTTTATCCTTTAACTTTCACGTATTCATTTTTCCAGAACTATCTTCTGGGGAAAAAGGAAACAGCTGAGATGGCAGATAGAAACAAAGAAGTGCTGTTGGAGGTATGACTCTTCACTCTCCCATTATAATATTAAAATATTAACCACCATTTTTTTAAGTCAGTTATGTCAATGAAGTATGTTTATTTTTGCAGTGTAACTAGAGGAGACTCTATTTTTCTATAGCCTGGTGGAGAGAGTTCAGCTGGTGTACTAAAAGGGACATGAGCTTTTTGGGAGCTGATGAGTGGGAGAAAAGGCAGGTCAATGAAGCATATGATTGTGCTGTTTATCTGCTTACCCAGAGAGAAATTTGAATATAAATAGCTGTTTACAAAATATTTCAAGCCGTAGTCTTACTGAATGTTTACATGCATAATCATTTTTAAAAATACATACATCTCCTTATTTTGAAGAATAATAAAACAAATTCATATTGAATTTTTGGCTTTTGTTAACTTAAGAGCATTAAGACCAAAGACGTTCATATGTTTGAAAACCTGAATAAATGCTTGCTTACAACAAGGCAATTAGGAAAGTGAAGATCAGCACTCAGCTTTTTATATGGTACTCACTACAATTAAGAAAAATCCTTTTTATAATTCCTAATTTTTCTGTACTTCAGGGAGAGAGAAATTAATTTAGGCTCCATATGTCCTATGTTAATCTTTAGTGAGTATTTCTAAAATTCTTTTACTAAATACATGGTTGCTTTTTGTAATCATTCACTTAGCATGTTGCTTTCTTTTAAAATGCATTCCTATTTAGCTTGACAGCTAATCTAAATGTGTTATTAATTTGGATAAATATAAAGTTCAATGCTTATGTTAGTTCTGACACTTTTATTAAATTTAGTATAACTGCTGTTTACAAATGCATTTAAGTGTCGTTACATGCAACTCAGTTGACATTTCATCTGTTTCTTCAAAACTGTATATTAGGTAAAATTTCACAGGGACTGCCATAGAAGTTCTAAAATAAATCCATATTATGTTACAATAAAAAGTTCTAATTGAGGTATAATTAACAGCATGGTTTTAATACAAAGCCACTTTGGTTTAATTACAGTGTCATACATTTTACAAGAGTAAACACAACTTTGTTCTGAGAATCCAAGAATTATATGTCTTTCCAAATTATCATCTTTTAGGAATGTTTTTGTGGAAGTTCTGTAACTATACCAGAAATTGAAGGAGTCCTTTGGTTGAAAGATGATGGCAAGAAGTCCTGGAAAAAGCGTTACTTTCTCTTGCGAGCATCTGGTATTTACTATGTCCCTAAAGGAAAAGCGAAGGTGTGTCCCTTCTGCTGGCTTTTGAGTTTCTTCATTGTGCTAATTGATTTTAATTTGTAGTGAGTGTGCTGACAAGGTGAATCCAGGCTCTGATTTGTTTCAACTTCTGTAGGACACAGAACATTGCTTTGTTTACTGATCTGTTATAAAGAAGAAGAAACCTGAAAATGTTCACTCTCTGCCCATTAGTTGGGCCCATCTCCATTCTCTTGCTAAATTTGAAACCATCCTTATATGTATTATTTTTTGGGACTTCTACCAGAGTAGTTTTTGCTGCTTGTTGTTTGGGGAGAATAGCTTTCTGGGATTATGGATGTTTCAGCCTTACCTGTCGCTTTTGTGCTTACGGGAGGGGGCGGGGGGGGCGGCGGCACTGTTTTAAGCTCCTCACTCTATCACTTCTTCCAATCTTTACTGCCACCCCAAGAAGTACCTACTGTTGCCCCTATTTAACTGGTAAGGAAACCCCGACTTGAGAATCACTGTGCTTGAGATATGTGTGGACAGACACTGAACTGCATTATTTTCTTGTTCTTTCCAGAGAGCTCTACTATACTAGATTATTTTTAATATACTATACCATAGTTAAAGTTTGTTTAAAATGCCACCCTTTTCCAAGCAAGTCAGTGTTAATTGTAAATGGCAAGACAGTTAGTAAAAGGGATGGCCTTTTTTGTTGCATCATGGGTTAAAAAAGAAACATTTCTAGAGAATCTCACTGTCTTGTCCTCTGTAAAATAGCAGTAATTTCTACGTGGTAAAATTTTGATTTTTCTACTAGAAACTGTTACCAGTTATGATATTTGCTTGCTTACACATTATTGTTAATTTATCCGTTTGGCTGTGTTTTATCTTAGGTTTCTCGGGATCTGGTATGCTTTCTCCAGCTGGATCATGTCAATGTTTATTACGGACAGGACTATCGGAACAAATACAAAGCCCCGACGGACTGTTGTCTGGTGCTGAAGGTAAACATGTATCTCTTTTTAAGAATTTTAATTGATGTTAGACATAGACTGTGTTATTGGACATTTTAGAATAGTTTGGATCTTCATCAAGTATACTGGTTTTGCTTTTTTCTGTAGATTTTTAAGGGAATAGTGAAGGATAGTGAATAATGTGCTATACCACAGCTGATCCTTAGCTAAGTAGCTCTTATTAGATTGATGCCACTAAAAAATGGATACTAGATCATAAACTATTCTGTACTTCAAATATATTTAACTCATAATATATATAATAGATTAGATTATAAATTTGAGGCTTTCATTTCGTAGCCAGGCTTATTTTAGGAAAACTTAGATCAGAGCCAAATAAATGTGGAACATAAAATTTTATGTGGTTTTGTTTTTCTTCTGTACTTACTCAGCAGAACCATCAGGGGGCACTGTGGTCAAAGTGGACTGGCTCTCATCTGGTCCATAAATAATTATTGTCTCCTCCCCCCCCCCCGAAACACACACACAACTGTAACCCTGGTAATCCATGCATGTAGGTAGTCCATGCAGGTATTATTGCCTGTCTGAGTTGTTTTTAGGGCTTTTCCCCCTCTCCTTTATACAAAATTTTTAGCTACTCACACCAATTATATCTGTACTTTAAGAACTGATATTTTTAGTGAAGTTTTAGTGATCTGTAGGGACACTAATAAAAACAACTTGTAAAAATCCTGGATAATTATGGAGATGATTATGTCTTTATCATTAGCTCCATCCTAGTAACCCTTTGGTAGCTATTAGGTCTACATGTTTATGTCATTGTTTGATTTTGCTTTTCTGAGAATTGTCATTTGGGTTTGTGGTAGTGGTGTTTGTTTAGTGTTTTGGTGTAGAGTTTTTATTGCTTTGATAAAATTAGGTGTATTGTAACAGTAACCCTTTTGTAGGTAATCCTTTCTTGGAGAATACCGCTGTATCTTTTAGGTTACAGCAGCAAATGATTTTTAAGTCAGTAGAAAGTAGCTTAATCCAGCAATTTTCCAAATGAGGTCTAAGGTCCCCTAGGAGTCCCTGAGGACCTGACAAGGGGTCCTCATAATTACTTAAACATAAAAACATAATTTGTTTGCTTTTTACACTCACATTCTCTCACAGATGTATAATGGAGTTTTCAGAGGGGTTATATGACATGTGAAGATATCTTTGCTCTCTTAGGTAGTAAAATGTGTATTTGTATATTCTTGTATTTTAATTTTTAATTTCTTGTAAAGTAAATACTAATAAACTTAACCCATGTAAGTAAAATTTGTTTGGGGGATCTTATTACATGACAGTAAGAGTTGGTTATTTTAACGACTCAGATTGTCAGTGAGAACCTAAATTCTTTCTGTCTTTCCCTGTCCCATTTCCACATATCAGCTTATTCTCAGGCTGGCTCACTTTATAGTCACAGATGGCCACTACAGTTCAGGCATCACATGTGACCCAGAAAACCCATCTGTCGATGGACACTTAGGTTGTTTCCGTATCTTGGCTATTGTAAATAATACTACAGTGAACACAGGAGTGCATATATCTTTTCAAATTAGTGTTTTCATGTTCTTTGGATAGATACCCAGCAGAGGGATTGCTGGATCATATGGTACTGTATTCCTAATTTTTTTAGGAACCTCCATACTGTTTTCCATAGTGGCTGTACCAATTTACAGTCCCACCAACAGTATGCAGTGGTTCTCAACCTTCCTAATGCCGCGACCCTTTAATACAGTTCCTCATGTTGTAGTGACCCCCAACCATAAAATTATTTTCGTTGCTACTTCATAACTGTAATTTTGCTACTGTTATGAATTGTAATGTAAATATCTGATATGCAGGATGTATTTTCATGGTTCGTGACCCACAGGTTGAGAACCGCTGAAGGGTTTCCTTTTTTCCACATCCTCGCCAACAGTTGTTATTTATTGCAGTATTATCTTACTTCCTTTTGCAGCTTATAAAATTCTTAGGTTAAGAATATTTTTGTTCTAAGGGGTTATTTTTTTGAGGTTTAGAAGGATCAAAAGTGTTAGAGTGGGTAGAATGTTACATGTTTTTATTTTTTTACTTCTTGCATGTTAGTTGAGGGAAGTAATTTTCAAGTCTATATGTGTTTCCAAAGTAATAAATGGTGAGTATACATTCAGTGGTATTCCTTTGGCACTTGGACTGTGATTTTATAGCATCACTTTTAATTACAGAGTTTTAGAAATTATCAGTCTCAATCTAATGTTTGGCATAAACAAAAAAAATAATCAAATAGCACAATAGTAATCCATAATTTATTATATTTTTAAATATTTTTATTCTCAAAATTTTTACCTTTTATTAAAGAATGCAAACATTCCAAATCACCATCATTTTAGAAGTGAAATAATTACTTTTGGTGTAGCTATTCATTTGTTTTGGAAGTAATTTCATTGTATGTTCTCTTTGGAGTATTTAATAATTTAAATGCAAAGCTTCTGATTTTTAGCAAAGACTGTCTCCTCCATACTTGCTCTTAGCTCTTGTGCAATTTTAAAAGTGGTGGAATAATATTACGGAAAAGAGAAGAGAGGCAGCAAATTGGGAAGAAGATTCCACCATTTATGAGGCAGTAGTGTGGCATAATGTTTAATAGCATGGATCCTGAAACGAGATTGCACGATTTCAAATCCTGATTCTTTCACTTGTTGGCAAATAACTTTGAATGCGGTCCTCACCCCTTTGGGCCTCCATTTCTTCTCAGATTGTGGAGGTAATTATATGTGACTCATAGGGTTTTCATGAGGATGGAATGAGCTAATATTTAGCATAATGCTGGTGCATGGTAAGTGCTCAATAAACGCCACTTTTAATAAAATAACATTATATTAGTGGAACAGGCATTCTCCTGCGATATTGGCACAAAGCCTGAATGACCATATGAAGGCTATAGAATGAATGCCTTTATTACACGGGAGGTTGAGAATTTTTGAGGTCCTAAAATGCATTTTAAACTAGCAAGTAGTCTGCAAATACTCAAACAATCATATCATAATACTTTTCAGGGTGTTACTTTGATTCTCAGGTTAGAGATGAGGAGAGAAGGATAAAGGATAATTTCTCTTTGGTATTCTCTGATGTTGTCTTGATAAAAACACTCCCTTTGTGTAGAGAAGACACACTCTCTCAGGCAGGGCCACCGCTACAGTGGAACACCCTTGGTTTTAGCCCTACTCTCAGGAAATGGAAGGAATTAGTCAAGAACAGTTTGTAAATCACCATAAAGGGAGGAGTAGGGATAAAGGTTCAGAGCCATCCTGTAGCCCCTTGTTCAGATGTCTGAACCCTGCTGGTGAGCAGTGTCTCAGGGAAGCAGGAGATGGAGAACAGCTCTTTTAGCCCTAGTTGGCAACACCAAAGAAAGCTTTTTCAGTCAGCCCATTTTATCTTCTGCACAAACTGTGGCCTCTTCTGTTTTGTATCCCAACATCTACTTGAAGCATCTGGCAAATAGTTGTAGCTCAATAACAATTTGTTGAATGAATGAATGAATGAATGAATGAATGAAATTCCCCTTCCTCCTCTTATAGAAAAGTACACGCTCTTCTGCCTGTCCTCTGCTCTTTCAAGGTTGCTATGGTGGTTTATTTTAATGTGATTCATGAGGAGAAGGGCATGTATTCCAAGACAAGGCTGTGGAGCCTATATTATCAGGAGAAAAAACTGTTAGATATTGTTTTGCTAACCTCTTATTGTTGAGGGGTGATGGTTAAAACTGACTGTAGCATTCAATAACTAAATTGGTGTTAAATGTCTTATCATAGGAACTGAGCTCTAAAGCAGTGTGTAGAATAGAATAAATGAATTTACATTTCTCTCACTGTAGACCAGAGAGACTGATCTTTTAACAATGCAGATATACAACTTATAGTGGTGGCCACATATTCCTGCTGCAGTGTTAACTTATTCAAATTGCTTATTTTATTGATTTCATGGGTTTCCACAACAAACGAATATGGTTAGAGAATTTTTAAAACCTCTTATAATTGAACATAATTTAAATACTTTAGGTAAAATATAGCCATTTTAAAAAATGTTCAGAATAACTGAAAAGAGAAGTCATAATAAACAGTCATTACATCCAAAACTGAGTGTGATTTAGGGTTTTCTTCTCAGAGAACAAGTGGTTGTGGCCCAGTGGAGTTAAAACAACTTACATCTGTGCTAGCACTTGCATTTTGCAGTCAAGGTCAGGTCAGTCACCCGCCGTCCAGCCCTCACCTGAAGACTACACTTAGTTCTCCAGCAGACTTAGTAGGACTTTGTCTTTAACCTTGCAGCACCCACAGATCCAGAAGAAATCTCAGTACATCAAATACCTTTGCTGTGATGATGTGAGGACCCTGCACCAGTGGGTCAATGGTATCCGCATTGCAAAGGTAAGTTTTCTTTGAGTTTGATGACAGAACAATGAGGTACTTAATTATATGGTTTTGATTGTCATGATAATTATTCCGGTTGTTTCATGTTTATGATTTTGCCAGTGTCTGGTTTTCTCAGGCCTTATGTTTTAAATATCTTTTTTTCTTTGGGGCTAGACATAAACTTTTAACAGTTGGTATGTATCTATGGAATAATACTGCTAGTAAAAGCTTGTATAGCGTCAAAGGTGATTTATTTGGCTTTGGAGCATGTATTATATGATTCTTATGTTCAGAATTCAGCCTAGACAAAAGAAATTGCTTTGGGGGGTGGATGAATAAGCGGAGTACAGGATTTTTAGGGCAGTGAAAATATTCATACTCACTCTATATCAGTGGTTCTCAACCTTCCTAATGCCACGACCCTTTAATACAGTTCCTCATGTTGTGATGACCCCCAATTTCATTGTTACAAATTGAACATAATTAAAGCATAGTGATTAATCGCAAAAACGATATGTAATTATATATGTGTTTTCCGGTGGTCTTAGGCGACCCCTGTGAAAGGGTCGTTCGACCCCCAAAGGGGTCACGACCCACAGATTGAGAACCGCTGCTCTATATGATACTATAATGATGGGTACATGTCATTATTCACTTGTCCAAATCCATAGGATGTATACCACCAAGAGTAAACCTAAGATCAACTACGGGTTTTGGGTGATGATGATGTCAATGTAGGTTCATTGATGGTAACAAATGTACATTGTGGTGGGGAGTGTTGGTAATAGGGAGGCTGTGCATGTTAGAGGCTGGGAGCATATGGGAAATCTCTGGAACTTCCTCTCAGTGTTGCTGTGAATCTAAAACTGCTCTATAAAAAAAAGTAAATCTTAAAAAAAAATCTTTTAAAGCACATTTTGAAGATGATTATACTAAGTAATTGGAAATAAAATTTATTATAGCTATAAAATCAAAGTTGCTTGAGGAATAACTGAAAAAAAACTTTATATTGATAATGAATACAATCAGGTGTTAACTTCTTGCTGCCTTTGTAAAAATGAAGAAAAATAAGAGATTATAATTTACTGGTATTAAAAGTATTTTTGAAGGATTATTAGGTATTAATTTTAATACAGACTATGAATCAGTAAACGGAAATGTACCCCCTTTCCTGCCTTACCCGGCTGTATCATGCCCTGTGAAGTTCAGATGTCCTCACTTACTGCTTCTGTTTAGTATGGGAAGCAGCTCTACATGAACTACCAAGAAGCCTTAAAGAGGACAGAGTCTGCTTGTGATTGGACTTCCTTATCCAGCTCCAGCATTAAATCAGGATCCAGTTCTTCCAGCATCCCAGGTAATGTGAAAAGCCAGTGCACAGTTTACTAGCAATATGAAGGTGTCCCTGTAGAGTGCTAGTAGACCTGGTTGCTTCAGCATGATTCCTAAAAAACAGCCAACCTAATTTCTAAATTATAATAAATAGGTACATGAGCTTTTTTTTTTTTTTTTTTTTTTTTTTTTTTACTTGCTAGAGGGGACAATATCCTGGGCAATCTAATAATATCCACATCTCATAGAGTGAATGGATAGGACTAGCTGTAACATTGGCATCTCTACCAGATGTCAGGCACTGAGCTAGGTGCTTCTGCATGGTAATCTTACTGACTTGGAGTCCAGTAAAATAACCTTCCCAGTCCCCTCGCCCTGGAGTCATTCAGATTACACTGTATCCTCAGCCATTCCCAGCTCCCCTGAAGACTTGCCCTCGCACCTTGCCAGGAGGCCAGGCTCTCAGTGCAGCTGCTGCCCTGTGGTGCCAATACCTAAGCCCTAGGAAACACACTTCCCACTTGGGAGTCAAATTCTAAGTACTGTTCATTGCTGGGTCAGGATGTGAACATCACGTATAGATCTGAATTCATAAGTGAGTACTCTCTGCGATGGCCTGGAGCAGGGATATATAAAAAAATTGAATTTTGATGTAATGAAGATAAAATTGAAGAAAAAAAAATTCACTGCTCTATTGATGGTTCATTTTCTTATTTGCTAGGAATTCTTCCAAGATAGATTGGCAGGATACCAATAATATCATATGAGCCTTTTATTGTAATTATCAGTGTCTCATGGTGAACTGTTTTAAAAGAATCAAGATTTCCTATTAGCCCCTAAGGTAAAGGGAAGTTTTCTAGTGGAAAATATGGGCGGTGCTTTATATGAAATGCATAAAAGTAACTTTTTGCTCTTCTATAAAGCACCTGGTCTTGTGCAAAAGATCTGTCTGAACATACATATTCACACTGTCAGAATACTGACATATGTCATACTGTTTTTGAAAATCTATTTTAAACAGAGTCTCAGTCAAATCACTCAACTCAGTCTGACAGTGGGGTGTCCGACTCCCAGCCAGCGGGACACGTCCGTTCCCAAAGCATCGTGAGCTCCATCTTCTCCGAGGCCTGGAAACGAGGCACGCAGCTGGAAGAGTCCAGCAAGGTAACACCTGTGGTCATCGGTAGAGAAAAACCTGTGGTGTTGTGTGGGTTTAGCTTGCTGCTCTTTTATTCCTTTACAGTTGGGCCTTGACTTACGAGTGTCCCGACTAACGAGTGTCCCGACTAACGAGTTTTTTGAGATACCAGCTGTCTCTCGGCCAATTTTTTGCATTGAGTTGATGAGTAATTTGAGTTAACGAGCTCCTTAACGAGCTCGGTCTGGGAACGAATTAAACTCGTAAGTCAAGGCCCCACTGTATTAGGAATCTTTCTTGGCTCTACATGATATATTCTTTCTTTGGTTTCTCCTCAGAAATGAGTATTTGTGAATGGGCTCTAGTGATTGTGATTTGGAAAAACAAACAAAAAACCCTGGCAGTGTAACTCCTTTTCAGTGGCTCACATTTTAAGAAATATTGATTTCCTCCTCCTCCTAAGTCAGTTTGAGTAGAGCAACACCATTCAGTGCCAGTGCCCTGATCTTGCTGCGAATGGTTGAGTGTTTCTTTATGTATTATTAATTTAGTTATTCAGGCTCCTTTATCTTCTTTTCTTCTATGCTTTTTGACATTTCTCTACACATTGATGAATTTTCTCCAATTATGGTATATGTGGAAGGCTACATTGAAATTAATCCCCTTAAAATTTTGGATCCCTAAGCCTTGCATAATAGCTTGTTCAGTGCCACTGAAGGACAAGTGTAATTATTGCAAGACTATGCAAAAAAAAAAAATGGAGTTCTTTAGATGATTGTAAAACACCATATCAAATTGCCTCTGAAATGTGAGAGCGCGGGTGTCCTGGCCGCATTCACCTGCTCACGCCACTGCTGAGGACCCAGTGGCACATTTGACCTGACCATTTTGTTTTTACCCAATAATAATTTTGATTTTTCTGTTCTTTTGGTCTGAATCACTTATGCAAGTACATTCACTAATGAGAATTAAATGGTTTTCCCCCGGTTTATTCCTTAATTTTAATATTTAGTCCTCGGGAGGGTGGAGGAGGCATTAGTAACCCAATGTGGAGGCCTCTTAGAAGTAAATATTTGAGAAGTGGTTCTAATGGCCTAAATTCTCAAAGCACTTATAGTTTAACTTCCTTATCAGAGGCTGAAACTTTAAGAAATAGTCCTCTCCTTTCTTCCACTTAATGTGATAGAGTGGCCCCCTTTCTGGTGCTAATTACTCGATGTATGTAGTAGAGAAGCAGGTTTACACTGCAGACATCTGGAGAAAAGTCTTCACCTTACTATGTGTTTAATGGTGCTATCCATGTGCATTTTAAATGAAAGGCCAAGGAAAACAGTATCACATGCCCGTGATCCAGCAGGGCACTCTCATTGCAGTTTCAGGAGCGTGCGCCCTGAAGTGCAGCAGTGACGATGTGTTTGAGTCTTGATCCTCTTGTGTTTCTTCTGTTACCTCAGTCTCAGGTGCCAAATGAGAAGGCCAGCACAGCTAAGGTCTACACCCCTGCAGCAGCCAAGACAGGGTCAAGTTAAGGTCAGGGGCTGCTTTATGGAAACACACTAACCTGGGTGACTCCTGTAACCAAGTCTTGCAGACTAATGCTTTTACTTTGATGTGCAATTTTAAAAGAAGCATTCGAGTGTCCTGATGAGCAATAGAATTCAGCCCTGTAATGAGCCTTCTAGTTCACTAACCTCAGCTTTCTACATGCTAATTAGATTTCATTCATAATTGAAAACAAATGGTTTTAACTTGGATCTTCATAGGATATTCAAAGAGCCTAAAAGATGTACCCAAAGTTATTAAACAAGGGTCCTTCCTCTGCTCTTTTCAAACATCCTTGAACCACATCCATGCATGAGGAGTTCCATGAAATCAGTGACTCAAGGTGATAATTTGGGCCATGCTAAGAGGTGCTCGATGGGCTGGCCAGCAGGTTGTTGGCAAATTCTAGCTCCCCTTTCTTGATACATTTCCTTTAGCCTTCCAAACTTTCTTCTCATTGTCTTCTGCCTTTTTCTGTCAGATATTGTTATGATCTTTTGCTGTGATGTTTATGAAGCATTTCTTTGTGTATTTTCCAGTAAAATGTAAAGAATGCCCTCTTTACCTGCATTGCTGGACTTCTGTGTATGTTGGATGTGTCTCACATGAGCATGTGTGTGTGTGTGTGTGTGTCAAGCTCGTTCACTCCTGTGTGACTGCACGCCCGCTGAGCATTCTTACACTCAGTGTCAGCTTATTAGCATCAAAAAGCCATCCTCATTCTCAGAAGGCCCTCCATCAGCACTCCTAAACCCAGCCAGGGCACCTGCCTCATGTGGATGAGTCATGGACTGAAACTGAACTCAGCCATCACATCTCCCCTTGCCAGAGTTTGGGTAGGGCAGTGCTCAGAGGGCGGGCTCCCACTTGGAACAGCCCGCCACCATCAGACAGCACTGCAGCAGGAAGCTGTTCCTAGATTGTTGGGCAGTCGAGTTATTTCAAAATGTTGTTGGATAAACAGACTTCCCCTGGCCCTCGCTGCCCAGGGAGCCAGATTTTAGCCTTCCTGCCTTGCTCATCTTTATGGTCACAGCTGCTGCGCCTTTTCATGCATGTCCGAGTCCTTGCCTTTTATTTTTACCCATTCACAGCTGACATCTGTAACTATTGCTATGTTTTCTCTCACCCCCCTTTTGTACTCCTTTTAGGCCAGAATGGACTCTATGAATCGATCCTACACTTCACTTATGCCCCCTTTATCCCCACAACCTAAACTAGTCAGCCCCTACACGGCCTCCCAGCCTTCGCCTCCTCTCCCACCCCCACC